ATTATTTTTTCCAAAACATGGGTTTCAGGATACTCAATTTGAAGTACCGAGTTAATGTTGAAGCTTTCTGAGGACTGTTGATTATTCAACTTGCAAAATAACCTCCTACCTTATACAAACTTAACAAGTTTAAGGGGCTGGAAATATTTGTAGATTCTAAATTTAAAGGTTAGGTGCTAAATATGAATCCCTTAAACAGGTAGTTGAGATTTGCTGAGTTATTTTGGCATTTAAAGCAGCATTATTTAGCCTTGGAGGTTGAAACTAAGAGCTTCTCTAAAAGGTACAGAGATCATGCCATTTTTGACCACCCTAACATAAAACCCAGACTCAAAAAAAAAATATAGCAGTTCATGTGAGGACGCTGTTCTTTGATTCCTCCGGTGCATTTAACACTATTCAGCCTTACTTACCTTCCTTCCTTCCTGGCCACAGCTATCAACACACATAACATCTTGTTTTAAAACTGCCCATGAGTTACTCCAACATATTTCCGTTTGGGATTATTAAAGTTTTTTGAAAATTTGAACTGCATTTCAGTTGAATACCAACATTAATATATATAATTTATAGATTTGCATGATCATTTTGACTAGAAAAGCTTACAGTGTTTTAGTTTTAGATATTGTTTTCAGGATCATTAATGGTTGTTAAACATTGCCCAAGCTTCAGTTTAAATATAAAGTCCCTGACAGCCTTGCTTTGGGCTCTACTTAGGACCGACCTATCTCTCATGGAATATGCTATGGGAGATATCTATATGATAAAATATCAATCAAAAAAAAAAAAAAACACACCAAAATTTTAGGGATAATCTATGCCTCAAATTTCCATTTCTGCAGAAATTAGGTTTTAAAATCAAGAACAGAGCATTTGGAGGACATTTTTTTAAATTGTTATTCACGTTTCATATTCATATTTCAGTGTAAAAGCTCATTGTTGAAATTTTTCTATGTCTGCCAGATACTGCCCTTTAAAACATTTGAGCCCAACAATGATAGATGCTATTAAAAGGCGAGTGCAGAGTTAGTGCGTATTGTTATCATGCAGAATAATATTCCCTGCAGAGGTTTATTTCAGTAGTTTGGAATAGACAAGGCCATCTCTGGAGGGTTGAATGGCATTCTTTTATACAAGTACCTATTGAATGCCAAGTGATAAGGAAATTGGTTATAAATTGTCTAGACACAAACCTAATCCCCTGGTTAAAAGGAGGAAAGATAAAGTTGAGGGAATGCATTTAACCAAAAATTTATCAAACTTGTTAATCCAAGTTACAGTGCTGCAAACCCAAATTAGAGTACCAACAATCTTATCATCAAAATACCACAATCTTCACACTGAAACCGATTTTACACGCCCATCTTTCCTCAGATTTTGTGTATAGGAAAATATTCTCGCACATCCTTTCTAAAAAGAAAATGCTCATATGATAATAAGTTAATGAATATGTGGTATACTTTATTATTACACTGTAATAGATGAAAAGTAAACAGAGGGGCCCGGCAGAGGACAGTTAGGGAAGCTAAAAGGGTTATTTGAGAGTCCCTACTCTCTGGAGGATCCGTATCAGAGCTGCTGCAGAAGCAGGGCTCTAAACATTATTAGGGAATCTTTGGAATTAGGGAAACAGCAACACACCCGCCAAGCATCTAAACAACCTGTTGCCACAACCTCACATATTCACCAGTCATTAAGTTGATTTATGCTTAGTGGTCACTGTGGACATATAGTCAAATGGCATTTTTGTACATATGGGTTTTGTTAATATTCTTCTATTTTTTATGAATTTGTATCTCCAGAAATGGAACGCTCAAAATAAACAAAAAAAACAAAACAGTTTCTATGTGTGAGTCTTGCATTTATCAGCACTTGTACAACAGATTACTGTAATCTGTTGTGTCATTAAGACTACCGACTCCCATTTCCTTTTTGTGCAAATGACATTTTTTGTTGATGTTGTTAAAATGCAAGAAGAAAAAAAAGTCTGAAAACTGGAGAACAAGAACCTTAATAAGTATAATTAGGATAGCAGCTAGTAGAGCGAATACCACGTTGAAAGAGTCCAGGTTAAGTGTCTTTTTTTTTAACACTGTTCATTTGAAGTAAAACACATGACCACATCAGTTTAGAACGTTTACTTGGTCTTATCATCTTCTCTTTGATCCAGGACTAGGTCTTCCCTCTCTCCAGGCAGCTTCTCTAACTCTCCTGAGAAAAGTCTGAGGTACTCTGGGGCCAGGTGAGACAGAATCCCCCCAGCATGTCCTGGGACGTCCCTTTGACTCCTTTCAATGGAACGTGCCTTGAATAACTCTTTAGGAAAGGCGCTAAGGGGGCTAGGAAACAGACAATGGAGCCACCGGAGCTGACTCCTCTCAGTGTCAAAAAGCAGCGGCTCTACTCCCGACCACAATCTGATGGTCCAGCTCTTCTCTATCTCTAATGGAATGCTCAGTCACCCTGTGAAAAAAAATCCCATTTCAACCACTTGTACCAAGAATCTTGTGCTTTAGGTCTTCAAATTTGGAAACAATGTGCAGTGGATTTTTTTTTTTTTTTTGTTTGTTTTTTAATTCAATAGTGGTTTGTTTTTTTCAGCATTAGGCTCACAGGAAGGGGATATGATAGAGAGGGAGAGACATGCAGAAAAGGACCACAGTGTGGATTCAAACCCGGGTCGCCCACGTCAAGGACTAAGGCCTCAGTACATGGGTCGTGCACACCAACCACTGCTCCTCCTGCACAACGCAGTGGATTGTTTTTAACCTTTTTTGGAAGTTCTTTAGGTCGTAATGACAATTTCATGACCATAGCTGAGAGTAGGAATGTAGATGGACTAGTAGATTAAGAGCTTCTGATTTCGGCTCAATTCCCTCTTCACCACAGCAGGCCTGTGCAGAGTCTACATTACTGCTACAGCTACACTGATTAGTCTGTCAATCTCGGTCCTTTTTCCCTTCGTTCGTGAACAGGAGCTTCAATATCTTGAACTCCGCTCTGACACTGAGAGGAGAAGTTTGGTTGAGAGCTATGGACTTGGACTCAGAATAGCTAAACCTCATCCCCGTTGCTTTGCTCTTTGCAAAAATGTTAACTTCTTTTGGCCCGTTGCTTGATATTTTGCTAGAGTATTTCTACAAAAGTATTTCATGAACAGCAAAATGGCTGCTGCAAAAAACCCATAACAACATAATGCACAATGCTATTATTTTTTATTTTATTTATTTTATTTTCACAACAAAAACATAAAAATAGAATAATGTTTCACTAAAAAAGAAAATGTGATGACAACTGCCGAAAAAGTTGCTATAAAAGAATAAAGCTATTTGAAGTTGATTCACTTGATAAACACTAAGAATACTTGCCTGAGCAAACAGTGGTTGGGAGGTGTGTCTACGATTTACACAAAATATTAGTCTTAAAGCTCGCTTCTGGAGTCGAAAAACAAATTCAAGTTTAGTTGGGTGGGTGCTAGCCCAAGCAACATTACAGTAATTAATATAGGGATATAACATTGAATAATATAACATAATTGCAACTTTTTTGTTAATCAGGTGCCGGATTTTTCGACCACTTTGGCTATTTTTTGTACTTATGGCACTAACGTGAGGTTTCCAGGATAAAGAATAATCTAGAATAACACAGAGGAAACGAACAGATCTAACATTATTAAAAGAAGTATTATCAATTTGAATTTTCATTGGAGATTTAAATGTATCAAACTTATAACCAAAAAATATAAACTTGTTTTTTTTTATGTTAAGTGACAATTTGTTGAACTTGAACCAGGATAACTTGTCAAGTTCTTCATTACCTACCTTTATTAAAATTTCAGGGTTTTTATGGGAGTAAAACACACTTGTATCGTCTGCAAATAAGATTTTAGAAAGTTTATCTGAAACACTAGTTTGCACTAAGAACGTTAGACTTTTACATTTCTGCCTTTTACCTCCAACTGCAATAATAATATATTTTGAAAGAGCAAATAATTTTTAGTCAAGAAACTTACAATTCCATTTTCTCTTTATTTGTTTTTTAGAGGAGTGGCGGCCTAGTGGTTAGGGCATTGCACTTAGAATCCAGAGGTTCTAAGTTTTAGCCACAATCCCACAGAATGCCACTCTGGCTCTCTGAGCAAAAACCCTTAACCCCACACTGCTCCCCAGGCGCCGCACAATGGCAGCCCTCTGCTTCCCAAGGGGATGGGTTAAATGCAGAGAGTTCATTACGCTGCTCTGTACCTGTGACAGTTATCTGAAAATAAAAGCTGGAAAAAAAGAAAAAAAAAAGATATTTAAAATAATCTTAATCTAAATTTAGGAATAACTTTTTATTATTCTGGCTTGTTGGAAAAACAATAAGTTTTGTAATTTTATATAACATTTTTAATGCATGTTGGTCGAGGTGAAATGAAAAATGGCTAGATTATTTAAGTTTAGAAAAGAACATGATGAAAGACTGAGGAGAAAATTCTAAGCGGGGTTTTTATGCTTAATACCTGCAAGGATTACCATAGAATTAAAAGCTGTTAAAAGTGTCTGTTGTGGGAAGGTCCCAAAAAGCATAACTGAAATAAAACCAAGCTCCATGAGTAATAGTAGGGGGCATCATTTGATCCTTGTTGTTTCTTTTTCAGTATTTTTATTGGTCTGTGACTGGATTTGTTTTGCTAGAGCTCAGAGGAGTCAGTTTCAACTGTGAGCTTTATCAACACAAAACCCTCACAAAGGTCCTGGTTTTTTTTGGGTTTTTTTTCCTCACACAAAAGCAATTTGGGAATTTTACAGCGAGCATCTCTCTCCCACAGGCTGATATATTGATGCCCTTAAATACAGTCAATTTTTTACACCTTCATGTAAAACAGAAGCTCCCCATTGGTTAGAGTCACACTCCACCCTCCGCCTTCTTTACCCCGGTTTCCCGGGCAACCATGTCAGGGTGGAGAAAAAGAGCAAATCATGTGAGGCTAAAGCATCTTTCTCTCTATCTCCCCCCACTCTCCCTCTCTGTCACTCTCTCTGAATGTGTCTACGTATAAAAGCGTCTCAGTGCTTTCCCCTCAATCTGAGCTCTCCATAGACTCGCAGTGCAGAACGGCGCGGGACTCAAGCACATGACCAAAGGGGATTCCTCTGAGCCATTTCCTTGACCTTCCTTCTTTTTTTTTTACACTTCCACAAACCCCTCTCTCTCCTCCCTCCAATGTGTTGTGGGTTTCCCTCCTCTCATCTATATCCTTCCTCTCCCTGAACATCTCATCTCTGCCTGGACGGTGGCTGCATCGATGCAAAATGGGTTGTGGCAATTCCTCAGCCACCAGCACCTCTGGAGGGGGTGAGTGTTTTAGGAATCTGTGTCCGGATGTGCCAGCCAGCGTTATGATGAGTGGATGTCAGTGAGAGGCTGTCACTACATCTGTGGGAAAGGGCGAAGGTATTTTGAATGTAAATGAAGTATGCCAGGGTAACCCTTACGCTCACAAGTGCATCTTTATAGGAACTTGCTGGTGGGTCTTGGTCACTTGATTTCATTCATGAAAACAATTCCTCTCCTTTATGTTAGTGTTTTTTGCTTTAGAGTAATACCAAAAGAGATTTAAACAAATTGCAGAATCTATATTTTATAATCATGAATCATAAACTCAGTGATAATCCTATAAAGATATTGATGCAAATCTGTCTGGTTTGACTGAAACATATGTATCTTTGAAGAATATTGACTTTAACAGAGTTAAATCTGCAGATTGTTTTGTTTTGTGTGTTTTGATCCTGCTGTTTTGCTTTCCAAGGCAAAGCTGACATTCACCCATCCTTGTCTGAATACTTGGCCACCGCCAAGTATGTCCTGAATGCAGGCGTCACTGAAATACTAAATCATCTGCAGACTTACTTTCATACAACCTGAAGAACACACGTTAATCAGTGATATTTCTTTATCTTTTTGTGTTTCTAACCCTTAATCAGTGTTATGCTTGTTTTTCATCTAACACATCTCAGTTACTTGGTTAAGACTGATCCGAAGAATATGTTATAAATGATAGTGAATTATACCTGAGAAAATCTCCAGACTCTCTCACATATACAAGTCTTGTCTAGGTAATAATTAGTTTGAAGTATCTGCAGAATTACCTCACCAGCAGCACTACCCATTAAAGCGGTGTAATGGGAGTGTTTGTGCTTGTGTAAAATGCACATGTGCTTGCAGGTACCTAATCAGTGCTTGCCTGGCATGTTAACATAGCCAATCACAGCTGCTGGTCTAAATGTGATCCACTCTGAGGTTCCATGGCCAGTAAACAACTTCTAAGTAGCTCCCTGTAGATTGTATCATGTTTTTCTGCAATGGGGCGGACGTTTTCTATGTTTTCTGCACCGTCGGCCTTATCCATTTTTAATTTGCTTAGTCTCAGAGGTCAGCGATCAGAAGAGTGTCAAGGGTGTGTGTCATCCTGTCACACTGATAAATTGGGCGTTGCTGCTGCTCTTATTTGTCCATTCCAGCTGATGCCAGGCCTGTGTCAAAGAACACTGGTTTAAGTTGCAAAATTAAATCAGTCATCTTGACCTTTTGGTGAGGTATTTAAACATACTTTAGATAAAGTTCATATGATTAGTCTTGATCATTTTCCTATTTTTTGGCTTATTTTTTGTAGATTGTTTTCAAATCAATAAAAATATATATATATGCACTTTGAAACCTTCATGCTTTGGGTTTTGTCATATAAGACACTGAGTAATTGTTTAAAGCTCCTGTGAATAAGTTTGTGGAACATTTTCTTTCTTGTTTTTCTATTTAAGATTTTTTGTAGAATTCTTCTCTCCTTGTAGTTTAGAAGCTGTCACGGTCTTGGTTCTGTTAAGTTTTCTTTGAGTTTTCAGTTTGACGTTGATTTGTGTTTTTCTTTGTTTTCTTTTTAATTCCTATTTTGTTGTGTTTTCTAGATGTATTTGAGTTCTTAGGTTTTTCTTTGTTGCTCTCTGTTGCCCTCTTGTGTTGGTCTCCTTTTCCCTAGCTCCTTTCTAGAAGCGTCTGTTCACACCTGCTCCCAATCAGCTCATTAGTCCTGTCTTTGTTCAGTCAGGCATAAATACTTTTCCTGTGCAGTTCCTCAGTGCTGGTTCCTCGTCTTTCCCCATCTTTCCCTTGCTCCTCATTCATGTTTTCCATGAAATCTCCGTGGTTCTGGTTTGTTTTGCATTTTTAAGTTGAATTTTTTAAATTCCTGCCTCTGTTACCTGTGATTCCTCCATTAAACTCTCACCTCTGCATCCTTGCCTTTGCAATTGGGTCCTCAAAACCTCAACCAATCCCTGACAGAAGCTACCTGTTTAGCTGCAGAAATATGTTTGTATTTTGTTTTAAAACCTCTCAACAGGACCAGGACAGACTTTATGCTCAATATCATGGTTGCTAAAAAAAAACTTTAGGTGCATCTTGAATTTATGTCAGGAATTTCAGTCTAAAAGTTCAAACTCATATCCAGATTTACGGTAGATTAATTTCACGTGATAGGTTTTTTCTACTTTGAAAAAAAAAGTATTTATTTTTATTTTATAAAAACATTGCATGTTAAAAAATTTAAAACTCCTATCATCAACAATGGGGGACAATGGAGAAATGGAGGATTTTGATAGGCTTTACAGCAATAGACTCTTATAATTGCTGACCAGTTTGTTTTCACTAGCATTTACATTTTAAATATATGAGCTCCTGTCATTTAAAGTTTAAAGGCCCTTCTGGCCATATTTGTTAGGTCAGATTCTCTAGTCAGATGTAGCATGTTTGGCAAATTAGATGATTACTTTATTCTTTAATAAGCAAGGGGTATTTATCTTTTTTTTAAATTAATTTCATAACCTTTTAAATATTTCAAACAAAGTATTTTAATTCAGATTATTATAGGTTACAACCAATTAAAAATTCCAATTCATTTTCCCAGTATATTACAACATAACATGAGATCAACAAAAAGGTGTGTTTAGATACAAAAGCCTCCTTGGTTGAAGCTAATTTTGCATGAATTATGGTGTAAATGTTATATTTGAAGGAGGCTGAAAAGTAGAGAATGAAACACTTGTAGCCCATATCTGGTGTTTAATAGGACTTATTACTCTAAAACCAACCACTGTCCTCACTAAAAGGAGGATTTTCTTATTATAATCCTCTCAAAGCTTGTGCACCTTTTTCTTCCTTCCTCTCAACTCTTCAAAAATATGCTTGGATATGTCACAGAGCCGGCTTCTTTAGCAATAATGTCTAACAGTAACTGTCAGGAGACCATTTGCTGCACACCTGTCAATTCACTAGTGTTCCTTTTGAAATTGTAGACTATAAAATGAATTAATAAGTTGTTCCTTTTTAATTCTTCACATGTAACATACATAATTTTTAGATTAGTTGTAAAACTATTGAAAATAAAATGAAAATTAAAACTGTTGTCTGTAATTGATGTTTGGAATATGAATTACATTTTTTAAACCAAATTACAGAAAATAATAAAATAAAGTTTAAAGGACATGCCAGTAAAACATGTTGTCCTATGAATGCTTGATATTGTTTGAGAGATAAAGAGAGACATAGTCACAGGACTAAATTATCCTACAAAGGCATAAGTAGCAGGCGGTACAGGTGGATCTAGGGACAAAGAGAGGATAAAGACCTTACAGCACAGTTTATCATCCATCCATTTTCTGTCAAGCAAACAACCATTCACACACACACTCACACCTAAGGACAATTTAGAGAAACCAATTAACCTAACAGTCATGTTTTTGGACTGTGGGAGGAAGTCAGAGTACCCAGAGAGAACCCATGGATGCTCAGGGAGAACATGCAAAAAGAACCGGGCTGGGAATCAAACCCAGATCTTCTTGCTGCAAGGCGGCAGTGCTACCCACTGCGCCACTGAGCAGCCCTTTACACTTTATCAATGAAGAATAAAAAAAAAAAAAAAACTTAAATAAATGATGCAGATGGAGTTAGCAAAGAGTAATTAAAAGGAGTCAAAAGTTAAGTTTGCGGATGTTCACAAGACACAAAATCAGAAATAAACTGGGCCTCTATAGTTTGGACAGCAGCCTGCACTTAGGTGAACAGTTCTTTTCAACATAGGCAAAGAAAAGTGAAGCCTGTCCTTCTTGCAGTTTCCCTCAGTGTGCTAGCAGGTACATCCAAGTATAGGAGGGTTTTTATTAGCCAGGACTTGGTTCTTCACCTAACAGTAAATACTTACAGTATTTAATCATAAAAGGAGAAGGTCTAACATGTAGGACCAAACCCCTTCTAACTCATTTAGACTTCATGTTTATTAGAATCTACATATCAAACTGTCAAAGCCTGCTGGTCTGCCATAATTTTTATTAACGTAAGCTTATGCGCTTCATCGCTGCATCATTACCCCAAATGCTCACTAAGCAGAATTAGCCGTTTCTACATTATGAAGACTTTTTCAAATCTTACTTTGGAAAGCAGTGCTTCATGGCTCAGCTGTTTTTATTCTGTCTGTGGGTTAGAAATGTCTTTGCAAGTGAAAGAAAATTAGCTCTGGACAGTATCTTTAAAAATTAAGATCAGCATCTTAGTTTCTTTGATAATTACATGTTAACTATTCGTGATTAATATTACTGTTTGTTCATTTTGGTGGAAATCCAAATCAGAACTACTGCTGGGATCATTTAGGAGGCGTCAAAGTCAAGTTAGACAAAAACATCATGAATTCGAGCCCTGGCCTTATTGAGTTCACTCAAAGGACCACACTATATGTCACATTGTTCGGCTAAAGTCTTGTGCACAAAGATGCGCAGCCTTGGATATGAATGAGCTTTTGTTGACGGCACTGAAAAGGCCTCCTTGTTGCTTTGGCAGACTCAAAAGCTTCACAGAGAAAAGCTAATTCTCTTTCTCAAAAAAAAAAAAAAGTTAATTCTATATCTGTAGTATCTAACTTTCTACAAATACGTATAAGTTTAATGTTTCAAGGTTTTATTTTGCACATTTAGTTGAAGGACATTCATACTCATTTCTCTCTCTACACTGTTCTGTCCCATTGATCTGTACATGCAAGGGGAGTGTTAAATTGTCCTCCAGCTTAACACGATCGCCATGGAGCACATGTAAATTGGCAAACATTAAATGCTTGTTGGTTCAATGAGGAGTAAAAGAACACTGAGTTCTCCACTGAGGCCACAAAAACCAAGGCTAATTCTGCTATATTACATAAAGTTATGGTTCAGTCGAGATCAACCAGTGTGGGCAAAGCATAATCTATTTCAGTACATATACCAAATTTGTTTTACAAATGCCCTGATGAATAAGTGTTTCTGCAACTTAATGTTAAAGGTAAAAAAAAAAAGAATTGCACCATTTATTTCTAATATTTATGATGATATTGTACAAATTAGCCGTGATATGACATATAGGTATTTTAGCAGACTTATGGTTGAGTTCACATCTTACTAAATGGCTGGATTCCAATTTATTTGCGTACAGTCCAAATCATATTTCAGTTATTATACTATAAGGCGATAATTTGATATCATTTGGTTAATATTTATCTATATTTTAGCTGATTGGTATTTTGCATTGAATTTCTTAGAGGAACGATAATTTTGGTCTCTGTATAATTTAAATTATTTAAAAAGAACCGTGTGATCTTCAGCAGCCATGTTACATTTTTTTATAATAATTATAGCCTTAAATTAAAACAATGGTATTCTCATTTACATTTATACCTGCAAATACACATAAAACCAAAATTAGGAAAAGCCTAACCTCAAAGGAGGGACCATGGCTTTAATTTTAATATACTTTTGAAAATCAGCAGGGTTACCATTTCAGCCTTGTAATTTGGACAGATTTCGTTCACATTGAGATGTCTTGATAATTCAGTTTCTTGTGTCGTCATTGTGCAGTAATATTTTTAGAAGATAGCATGTTGTGGTAGCAAGGACCAGGAGATGGTACACGTGAATGATTAAAAAATAAATGACATAGCTTAACTAATTTTTATTTATTAGTTTATTTGACAGTCAGACAAGCAAAGATCATTACAAGTCAATCGTAAAACGAAAGAATAAAAAAATCAATAATTGACGGTGCCTTGATGTGATTTAATGTGTGCACTTAATAAAACCTTCAGAAATCTGAGGTTTTAACTGCACGAATAAAGAGGATTACAATCACCCTTAATAAATTCCTTATGAGTCTGCTGCAAACCTCCTATTATTGGCTATCCTTGATCCAATAATCCTAAGGACAGAATTAAAAAGTTCATAAGTTCATAATTAAGCATACTGTCTTTCATCTGATGGTCAAAGTAAATCAAATCTCTGTATTTTTTTTCTGTTCTCAGGGCCAGCAGAAGCCTCCAAAGATGTGTAAGTACATCAGTCATTTTCAAAGTATTTGAAGTATTCATGAAGCTGTCGGTGTACCTCAGGTCTCGTCCATCTACAGGTGCTGGTCATAAAATTAGAATATCATGAAAAAGTTGATTGATTTCAGTAATTCCATTTAAAAAGTGAAACTTGTATATTATATTCATACATTACATACAAACTCATATATTTCAGATGTTTATTTTGTTTAATTTTGATGATTACAAATGACAACAAATGAAAATCTCAAATTCATCATATCAGAAAATTAGAATATTGTGAAAAGGTTCAAAATTGATGGCCCCTGGTGCCACACTCTAATCAGCTAATTAACTCAAACCACCTGCAAAAGCCTTTAAATGGTCTTTCAGTCTAGTTCTATAGGCTACACAATCATGGGGAAGACTGCTGACTTGACAGTTGTCCAAAAGACGACCATCGACACCTTGCACAAGGAGGGCAAGACACAAAAGGTCATCGCTAAAGAGGCTGGCTGTTCACAGAGCTCAGTGTCCAAGCACATTAATAGAGAGGCGAAGGGAAGGAAAAGATGTGGTCGAAAAAAGTGTACAAGCAAGAGAGATAACCGCACCCTGGAGAGGATTGTGAAACAAAACCCCTTCAAAAATGTGGGGGAGATTCACAAAGAGTGGACTGCAGCTGGAGTGAGTGCTTCAAGAACCACCACACACAGACGTATGAAAGACATGGGTTTCTGCTGTCGCATTCCTTGTGTCAAGCCACTCTTGAACCACAGACAGCGTCAGAAGCGTCTTGCCTGGGCTAAAGAGAAACAGGACTGGACTGCTGGTGAGTAGTCCAAAGTCATGTTCTCTGATGAAAGTAAATTTTGCATTTCCTTTGGAAATCAAGGTCCCAGAGTCTGGAGGAAAAGAAGAGAGGCACTTCATCCACGTTGCTTGAAGTCCAGTGTAAAGTTTCCACAGTCAGTGATGGTTTGGGGTGCCATGTCATCTGCTGGTGTTGGTCCATTGTGTTTTCTGAGGTCCAGGGTCAACGCAGCCACATACCAGGAAGTTTTAGAGCACTTCATGCTTCCTGCAGCTGACCAACTTTTTGGAGATGCAGATTTCATTTTCCAACAGGACTTGGCACCTGCACACAGTGCCAAAGCTACCAGTACCTGGTTGAAGGACCATGGTATCCCTGTTCTTAATTGGCCAGCAAACTCTCCTGACCTTAACCCCATAGAAAATCTATGGGGTATTGTGAAGAAGAAGATGCAATACACCAGACCCAACAATTCAGAAGAGCTAAAAGCCACTATTAGAGCAACCTGGGCTATCATAACACCTGAGCAGTGCCACAGACTGATCGACTCCATGCCACGCCGCATTGCTGCAGTAATACAGGCCAAAGGAGGCCCAACTAAATACTGAGTGCTGTACATGCTCATACTTTTCATGTTCATACTTTTCAGTTGGCCAACATTTCTATAAATCCTTTGTTTTTATTGGTCTTCAGTAATATTCTAATTTTCTGATATGATGAATTTGAGATTTTCATTTTTTGTCATTTGTAATCATCAAAATTAAACAAAATAAACATCTGAAATATATGAGTTTGTATGTAATGTATGAATATAATATACAAGTTTCACTTTTTAAATGGAATTACTGAAATCAATCTACTTTTTCATGATATTCTAATTTTATGACCAGCACCTGTATGTCCCACTCTGCACATTATTAAACAGGCTGCAGCGTTGTACAGTAGTATCAGTGGCAAAGACTTCTTACAAAAGTTGTCATAATTCCTTCAACTTTTTAACACACTGTTGTGCTTGACAGTTTACATACACTCCCATTGAAGAAAATTATAATTAGTAATTCAAATTATAATTAGAAATTCAAATTAGTAATTCAAAATACACAAACCTGGAAAAAAAAAAAAAAAAAAAAAAAAAAAAAAATATATATATATATATATATATATATATATATATATATATGTACCACCCCACGAGGGGTGAGAAAACAGTTTTTTTTGGTGTTTTTTATATATATATATATATATATATATATATATATATATATATATATATATATATATATATATATATATATATATATATATATATATATATTAATATATATATATATGCATGCATGTAAACTTTCGAGCTCAACTGTATTGTGACATGACAAAAAAACATTTATAGCACTGTATATAGTTTTCATATAATACAGCAACAGAACTGAGACAAAGAAGATAAATAATCTGAAAAATAAAAAAGTGTTCTATGCATTCGTATTCAGCCCCCATTATCCTGATTACACTAAAGAAAAAATAATCAAATGGGATTACTTTTGGTTTCGATGGAATAACTCCAACTACACTATGTGCAGGGGAATCTTAGTCAGCTAGAATGTAGTTAAAAAGTTAATTCATTTCTATAATTCAGTTCATTAAATGATGCACATTTTATAGACTAATTATGCACAAGCTATTTTAGGTTTGAATTTTTTCTTTATTATGACAATTTTCCACCTATTTAATCAAAGCGTGATATTTAAGAAAAAGAATATCAGACTATTAAAAAAACATTTTTAATGCAGAAATTTGGGCTTAAAACACATACGTTTAATACCTGCCTAAAGGTAGGTAGGTTTAAAAAGTAGGGAAGTAGGGAAGTGGTCATACTGTAGTTGTAGCACAGCAGCATTGAACTTAATAAAGGGCAATCCTAAACATGAACATTTTAGAGGTTGGAGCAAGATTTTACCCTTCAGCAAAAACAATAATCCTAAACATAGAGATAGAGCTAGAAAGGGAGTGGTTGGGATCAAAGCATATGCATATGTTAGCACTGCAAAATCAAAATCCACACCTAAGTCAAAGTGAGAGCATGTGGCAAACTAGAAAGGTGCTGATATTTTCCATCCAATCTGTTATAAGAATATATTAAATACATCTAATCGGCAAATGGGTCAAATAAACCCCAATAGAGTCACAGCTCTTACTGCTAGGGTAATCACTGGGAAGGTACAGTAGAGGTAGATTAAAAGAGCATTTGCTCAAGGATGTTTGATCCATCCATCCATGCATCTTCTCCCACTTATTCCATCAAGGGTGCAGTATGATTGGTGCCTGTCATCAGCAATCTATTGCCTAAAGGAGGGGTACATCCTGCTCAGGTTGCCAGTCTGCTGCAGGCCATGTTGGATACATATCCCTAAAAAAGTTCTAGATGTACAATTAAAAAAACAACAAAAAACATTATGCCATTTAAAATTAAAAACACTGAAGATTATTTTTTTTTTCTAAGTGCACTACTTCACGTTGGTCTATTACATAAAATCCCACTTAAAATTCACATAATTAATGTTGTATATTACAGTTGTCTACCTATAGAAAATATCTCCTTTGAGATTGTGTGGGTTTTTCTGAGGGTTTGTTCTGAGGTACTTTATATGTATTTTTATATTTTTGCAGTTTACACTTTACACAAGGGTGGAGAGGAGCAACATTTTAAAGCATTTCCTGTAAATAATATTATGGGTGTACCAGAATTAATTTTACTGCCTGTTTTATTTTGGAAATAAATGTCCGCGGAATACATAGTGGTGCAGGGAACCAGTAAGCTATGTATCAATCTATTTTTTTGGGTAATGATAAAGCAAGAAATCAGGTGTTAAGGCTCAGCCCCAGAAAGGAATGCATTTTTATTGATCTGGTCTGAATTGATATTTATAGTAAAAAGCAGGTTAATTCAGCAATATAGAGATATGTTTACAAGAATATATGTGTGTGTGTGTGTGTTTACGTGTCTGTGTACCGTACATACTCAGTCAGCATTTGTTTCTTGGTAGCCACCCCAGCAGCCAGTAAAGTACCCATGAGAGCTGACTGAAGAACTCTGACTCATTTGAAGCTAATAAGAGCTTCCTAAAGCTAAAATATGCTGCAAAATACCAAAAACAAATTGAACACACATGCTCTCACATACATTTAAAATGCTTCTCCAACTACCACAATACACATCAATAATATTTCCTTTTTCATTATCCCATATACTGATTTTATGCTTGTTTTGGCAATCAGGCAGAGTAAGCATGTGGTGTCATGCCTATAGGGACCCACAAGGTGGTAAAATCCCCTCCAGTATTCTTGAGTGCCTAATTTTAGTTCTTAGGAGAAAAAATAGCAACAATTAAACACAACATACACATGCACACACTTTGACATTAAACCCCAAATATCATGCAAATAATACAGCCCTCACGCTGAGATGTTTCTTATTATTTAGCCTGGTGTAGCTTTGTTTTAGACCTACGACAACAAGCTGGAAGCTGGTTCAATAACCTTAGCTGAAATGATAATTGTCAATTCCATGTGCCTCATCATCAGCTGCTGACGCGGGGGGAATGATCAGTATTCCCTGCAGCACACCTTAAATGTTCTTCAGCTTAAACAAACAAGCCCCTGAGGCCAGTTGCTGCACAGAAAATATCCAAGAGCCTATGACATTTTCTGTGCTTTACTCTGAAAGCTGACCTGACCTGTCATTCTTTTCTCAATCAGGACAGAAGATCCCTTGGCAGAAGATGAGAAAAGAAGGTATATTTTTTATGCAAAGCAAAATTTTTAACCTGCTATGGTGCTTTTGTAAAAAACAGAGGAGTAAATGACAACACCAGCTAATAAAGCAGTTATCTTTAAATAATATAGTTCCTTGGACCCCTTGAAACCCCTTGAACTTAACTTTTTTGTCACAGTACAACACAATAATTAAATAATTTCGTTGTCTTTGCCAAAAATCTTGCCATCACCTTGTTTCTCAGTGTGCATAATGTTAACGTGTACACCATGAAGTGAAATGTAGCTCTCACCTAGCCACAAAACAATCCTCCACTTTTTCTGTGTCTGCTGCATGACCTGTTACAAACTTTGAATAGGGCTTCTTATGTCTATCTTTGAGCAATGGCTCTCTTGTCTTTCTTTCATAAAGCTCTGACTTGCGGAGTATTTTTTTCATTTTTAACAGAATGTTCTGTACCTCTGTGACTCCTCTAAGGTTATCAGTCCACTTGGCTGCTTCTCAGAATAAGGCTCTATTAGCACAGCCTTTCCGTGTAGGCTATATCTTTTACATTTTTAGATTAAACAGTGCTTTGTGAGACACTAAAAGCTAAATTTAATGTGATTTCACATAAACCTATTCTAACCCTCATCACATCTTTGTCACTGTTTCTGCTGTACTTATGCTAGAATTAGAAAAAGATGGACAGGATTTCTAAATTAAAAGTTTGCTGGATGCAGCTAGTTCCACTAAATTTGTAGCGTTGTAGTCAAGACCACACCAACCAAGACAGTATTGACACAGAGACAAGACCTTATGTGTTATATAAGTATACTTTTCAATTTAAAGGTTAATGTCATGTTATACATAAGGGCTTCAAGAGTGGAATACTGTTTTACAACGTAACCATAAGTAAAATAACTGCAGAATGCACTGGTGATAAATAGATGAAACACTCTCTTAAGTTTTCTAATTTCTACTTTGTTGTTCTCTTATAACAAGTTAATTGGTTATTGATTAAATACTTTTGCAAGAGACCGACATTTCTTCATAGGTGAAGCACACAGAAAATATATACCGTGAACACAAAGTTACTTAATCAGAAGTATCAGTGTCTCTACACCAGCAAGAAACTGTTGCACTAACATCGTCTCCTCTCCTATGATTTCCACTCAGGAATTATGGCGGCGTATATGTGGGTCTGCCTGCAGATCTGACCACAGTGGCTGCTAGTCAGTCTAAGTCCACACGAAAAGGTGAAAGTCTGCAACAAGTATTCTTATTTTGAACAACTTTGACGACTATTTTTAGGCACATCAGGACAAAGATGCTCATTTATATCCAGCAGCTGAGCTACTTGAAAATAAAACACTCCCATTCAGCTGTATGTCTTCAACGACAAAGAACCATGAGAGAATGTATTAAATGGAAGATATCTAAACCTTGGAAATGTTATTTATTATTCACTGCTAAGTGCACAATTAACCTCATTTAGTTAAAACTCAGCTATTTTTTACACTGCATTTTGAAATTATTTTGTGCTAACAAAAGTACAGTGATTTTTTTCTTCAGTTTCTGCTATAAGAAGTATCCTCTTCTCTTTTGTCTGATGTACCTCGTTGTAAAATGCTGCATGCAGTGTGTGAGTGTTATGAACACAGTTTTGACAGGGATATAGAAAGATCAGGAAGGGGAAAAGATTCAAAATGTCAAACAATGTTCCTATAAATATCTTGTTGCTGAGTCATTATTTCTCTGCCTCTTGCAGACTAACAGCTACTGAAGGAAATTCAACAAAGGTACCTAAAATACATCAATGCAGCTTATTTGGCTATTACAGTCATTTGCTTAAACAATCAAGAGCCAAAAGCACCACATTTAAATAAATGAGTCAACAAACACATTTTTACAAAAGGTTAAAGTAAAATTTTAAGACATCACCATTTTTATTAGTTTTAAGATGCTAAAACTTAGATAAGATGTTGGCATCAACTCAGGTACTTCACACACAGATTAAAGGTATAGAGGATGATCTTTTCTTTTCCAGGTGGATCATCTAAATAAATAATACATCTTTTTTGTGCATGCGCACTTTCAGGCATATATCTTTGGTGAGCTACGGTTTCAGACAGTCATTGAAGCTCACCTTTCTCAGCATGGTTGAAAATGGCAGAGGGTCGTAAGAGAAAAAGTGTCTACGAAGTGTATAAATAGAAAAGAAAGACCTCAGAAGAGGCAGATATATATCCCAGAATGCTTTGCGCTGAGAGCTCTCCTCGCAAAGCATTAGTGGATTTGCTGTCAAAGTGGCCCGGTGTTGCCATAGATTGTCCCAAACCGACAGTGGTGACCAATAACAAAGATGCTGCAACGGAGCAAAAAACAGTGATCATCTGTCGGTCAGTTAACTGAATTCACTACAGAGTCGACTATATAGTCCTTCTGTATGTTCACACAGTATGAGTTATGAGAACAGCACATTTTAAACAGGGCATGCACTTTTTAAAAAAAATGGAGAGGGCGGGTCATTTAAAAAATCCTCCACAATACCTTTAAGGAAAAAAAATGTTATGATGCAGAAAATAAGCATTAAATACACTATATTAAATACTTTGAGGAATTGCCTTTCTTTCAAATATAGTAAAAAAAAATAAAAAATAAAATCCACTGGACTTGGTTTCCAAGTTTGAATACGTTTCTCCATACCTAAGGGGCGGATCTGTTCTTCTGATTCAATTTGCATGTTTTCTAAGCTGCTATATAAAGCTTTGAACTCAACACTAATTCTGACATTTTGAATCGAAAAAGCTTCCTGGATGAGGAGCGAAGTGTCTTCAAACTTGGAAAAACCAAGTCCAGTGGATTTTTTTTTATTTTTTGGAATGACTATGACCTGGATGACTGAGAATCAACAGCCTTTCTTGGGTTACCAGTAGGGCTCCAACTAATGATCACTTTGCAAATCGATTAATTAATTTTTTCAATTAATAATCGGATAGCCAAAGGTTCCTTAAAGAAGACTTATTACGGAATTAAACCAGGTGAAACCTTTTCCACTTCAGGATTTCAGGATAGTAAATATTGACAGATTAAAAATATTTATCCTAAATGTATTGCAATTTCACAATTGATGTTCAAGGAGGGCCTTGAACAGGTTGCTAAACTCTGATATTGATTAATCTATTACTGAATTAGTTGGTGATTATTTCAATAATAAACTAATAACGATTAATCTGATTAATTGTTTGAGCCCTAGTTGCCAACTTCAAAAAGTTTGGTGTATGGAGAGACTATTCATAGATTTTGCACAGGTATGATTTTGATCTATTCAACCAAACCTTGAAGTTTTCTGAGCTTTCACCACTTCCATTGATGTTTAAATTAATACATGTCTGGAGATGGAGTTGGACTTCCTGCAGTTCTACATCCTTAGTTTGGAACAAGTTATTTTAGACTATGTATTTTAGACTATGTTTGCTGGATTAGAGTCATTTCCTTATTATTTAAAACAGTAAAACATAGCTGACATTGCCCTATTTTTTCTAAATGTAAAGACTTTGGCAGTGAGAAATAATTCAATAGGCGATTAAACAGATGATGTTATTGAAATACCGTACCAAAATACTGGAAGATTTAATCTGATCTCTTTGTTTTCTTTGGCTTTTCGCATATCCTTTTCTTCATGCACTATCCATATAATTCTAGTTCATCACACAGATATAAATTTTTATTGGTTAATTTCCTTTGATTAATTTGTGTGTGGATTACTTGGGTTGTTGCCAACACCTGTTTGGAGTTTATACTAATGACTCCATTGGAAATTATTTGTTTTTAATTACTAATTAATACTTTCGCTAAAAATGTATATTTATGTGATAATTTAGATTTAAAATTGGAATACATACATTCAATAAAAATATATATTTTTACTAATTAGTTTCTTTTTGGAAAACTATATTTCAATAATGGGATTTTGTAAATGTGAAATTAATTATTTAAAACTGTATACTGTACATACTTCAGTAAAATATATGTAATTATGTGTGTATTTTATAAAAATCGAGTTTACTTTATGATTAAGCCTTACAGATGTGAGTAAGTGGGCAGAAAAGTTGACTTGTTTGCAGTTTAACCAATCAAATGTTTAGGGTTTTTATGATGATCCAAAATGACAGGTTAAACAATTGAAACAAATATCAGAACAACAATAAAGCACTGAACTCGATATTAATTAATGATTTAAACATTTCACTATTTAACTATGCGATGAATTACTTAACGACACATTTATATCAGTATTTTTTAGATTAATGTAATGGAAACATTACATTCTATTGCAATTGTCGCATTTACAAAAAGCATTTGACAAAATATTAGGTGAATGGATTTTGATTAGTTTGGCTCTTGATGAAAAACTTGAACTTTGAACTATGAACCTTTTATCTTCAACAACTAAAGAGGAAGAAAGAGACAGCTCCCCCACCCTGGGACTCGTGGTTCTATGTGAAAGCAGCAGGTATTTTGACACTCCCATCGGACGACAGTCACATCAGTGGACCTCTCCTTCTCAGGAAACAAGGATACAGCCAAGTTAGCAACTAACAGTGTGGGAGTCACACAATCTCCCCGGACCCTTGGCAATAATTATTCCTGGCAATTATGTCACTGCAGTGCATGAGTGCTAAGTTAAAGTAGACAGAACATGCTATAGCCATGAACATTTTTGCATTCAATGAGCTGCTGTAGCATCTGGACAGTTGGATGAAATTCCTTAGCATCATGCTCAGCTGATATTAAGCTGATATTAAGATTGCTTTCATGATGATCTTATTGTGGACATTTGACTTCTCCTGGCCAATGATTCTCTGTATCTGTTGTGGTTGCTCCATGTGCAGTGTTGTTTTGTCCTCTCTGAAAAAAACTCTGAATATATTACTTTTAAAGGAACTGATGGAGTCTTAAAAGTTTTTTACAAGAAATGTTGCCAAACTGTTAACTTGTTTTCCCCTGAATAGGAACTATATAAAAATTTGCAAACTTAAGAGAGCAAGCAAAATGGATCTACCAACTAAATACTAATCAGAATACATATATTATAGCACCCGCTCTCTGTGTTTGTCCCTATGAATACATGGAACTTTTGCAAAATCATCTGAAAATGAAAAATACTGGGAATAGATTTAGACTTAAGATTTGCAAAACTGATTGCATTTGTCAAACAATGTTATTTTTGAACTTTTTAATGAACAAAGGGGTGACCTGGACCCAGTCTCAAATAGAAGCCATACCATTTCTTACAGAAAAACGCCTTTTTACTCTGCAGTTCTTTGTATCTGGATGGACCTTTCCAGCACACCAGTTAGTTCGATCTCCAAGAGGGATTTTCTTGGTGCTGTCAAGCAGTGCTGGAATAATTTTACAAATGGTGAGCCTTTCATTGCCTTGTCAATGTCCTTGCCTACTTTTACTTACAATAATTACATTCTTTCTGTTGACTGAAAATTATAAAAAAAGTAATTTATGGTATCAAGTTGAAGCAAATATTCAACCTAAAAACAACTCTTATCGGCCTCACCTGTATTACATGCCGATTTGCCACGCTGGAAGCTCCGGCCTAATCAACGTTGGGACTGCACCCCCGTTGCAGCCAATCATCATTCAAGATCTCCTTCCTCTGCTCCTCGTCCAGCCTTTTACACACCTCTGCCCCATCTCCTCCATCAGACTCAATCATCCTCTGACTTATTCCACCACCAGTGACCAGTTCCTGGGGGAAGCAGCCATGAATATGAAAGATGACTTTTTCCTCACAGGTGTGGAAATATATGTATTAAGCAGTGAAAGAAATGCATAATTAAATTAATTATGAGTAAATAGCGTATTTGTGTATGTCAGTATTTTATGGCTGCTGTTCACACAGTTATGGTGTTAAAAAAACTCACAAACTGCTGTGGTTACATTCATGTTTTAATCTTGTAAAATGAATGCATTAGGGGTGATCCTAATTGGTAATAGAAATTAAAAAACCTCTATTAGCCAGCAAACCATTTTTATAAGAAAAAAATGAGATTCTCAATAACAAAGGGGGCATCCAGGCTGTCTGAAAGGATACAATGTCAGACATTTCTGAGTTCAAAAATATAAACAATGACCTTGACTGCAACAAGTGCAATGCTGTGGAGGTCAAAGGCTGCTTTGCTTTTGTTATGCCTGAAATAATCTAATTATTTTCTGATATTACACAGAGTAGGCCCTTTTCCTTTATTTTTTCCAAATAGAACTCATACTTGCCATCTGTGTACAGTGCTGTTGCAAATTATGGCTGCCTTTGGGATTCACAAAATTAATCTACCCTCCTCTCCATGGCAGTAGACAAGAGCCCACCAAAGTCCTCATTTTAAAAGAGCAGTTTGCACCACTGTTTCCTCTTTCATCGATTTGGCATGGAGTAGATCAATCGTATCCAAAAAACATCATGCAACATTTTTGGTTTATGGATGGTATAATTGAACTTTGAATGATATGATATTTAAATGAGTGTAGCATTGTGCTATTTTCCTATTGCCAAAAGCATGGGCGTAGGTTTGCATAGGGACCATAGGGACATGTCCCTACCAAAATTTTGAACCGACCTAATTGTCTCTACCAATAATTGGATGTGAGCAACATGTTTATAATTTACAGCAGTAGTTGTTGCAGCAGTGGCTTCTTTTCCTCTGGCAGCTCCTCTGCCTGGTCTCTCCTGTCCCTTTCATGCAGCAGCGCATGCAACTGTGCTGCGCTGTTTAACTCCACTCTCATTGGTTGTTCTGCCTTAGGTTCCGCCTTCTCTCTCTCTGATTGGCTGTTTTCTAGTCCTGGTGTGCTTGGAGCACAACATTGAAAATGTATTCACATTAGAATGCTGCGGTTACTACAATAAATATTAGGCTACAAAACTAGTCCCAATAAAAAAAATGAATATCATGTACACAAAAACCTTTTTTTTTCTTTTAAAAGGCGAAATATTCTGAGTCAGCCAGGAGTTCTGAAGACACAAAATGGGCAAATAAAGGCTGCAAGCCATCAACATTTCTGATTCTTATCCACAGCCAATTAAAAAAGAAAAAGTGAGTGTTTCCTTTTTACCAATATTTAGTTGCTATTACTGTTTTCATTTTTTTATGACTCTTTGAGAAAGTTCAGGTATAATTATTAGCAGGTGTTATTTCTCTTATAGAGTACAACGACAAGAAATGGAGCCTAAACATCTGCTGTTTTTCGTTTAAAAAGCATAATTAGGGTTCCACATAATAATAGTTATATTTTATTGACTATTTATACTTCTAGAAATAGGATAAAGACAAGAACAAACAAAGGAAGAATATAAACATTGATTTTTATCTTACATAGATTTCCACACAGTCTATAAGTAAATTAGTACAAACATTAATGTCTGGTAAATAATGCTTGAATCTGGCTGTTTATTTAGGATATTATTAAATTACAGATAAGATAGTGTTATATTGTCTTTTATAATTGTTAAAAATTATTTTATATTTGAATACACTTAGGCTCATTCTTAGTGTTGTGTTTGTAGATGATGCCACTAAAAAAGAAAATATACATACAGTAAGGAGCTATTTAAACAGTCAGACAGTAGAAATATAGGACAATGATAAAAGGTTGTGTTACATTTAATCCTTTACTATTAAAATTGCACTTATACATTATATGATTATAGGAAACACAGATATCCAGTAATAATGATGCAGGGCAGCTTGTACTGTAGGTGAAACAGCTGCCCTTCAGTGCTTCAGGTGATGTCTAAATAAACCAGGTGAAACTAAAATATTTCCACATGAAGAGTTCTGGATGGAGAATGTTAACAGACAAAACATTTTATATATATGTATATATATGTGTGTGTATATATATATATATATATATATATATATATATATATATATATATATATATATATATATATATATATATATATATATATATATATATTGTATTTTTACAATTTTGGTATAATTACTGATCTAAGTGGGTTGCTCTGTAGGGGAAAGGCACATTTTACATTTATATTATGTTTTATAGTCTCCATTCTCCAGTTAATGATTAATCACTCACTAAATTAGTTGACGATTATTGAAATAATCAATTAATTTGATTCATTTTTTCAGCCCCAGATAAAATACATAAAATGGGCTACACAGAGTAACTACAGCCCAGATGTTCAACTTTTATAGTGAAGTTAATATTTTAATGAATGTATTATTTTGCTTGATACAGAGAGAGAATAGTAGGTAAAATATAAGAGTGGGGTTTAACTCTGCACAATTGTATATCTTCAAAAGAAAATACTGTATTTACCTTCTCTCTTAGTCATGCAAATGAATCCATTTACAAAGTGGAAAACAGTCCTAATTCCACATTCATCAGAGCCGGTGATACTTCAAACATTGATAAACAGCATCTAATGAGTGTAATGCTTATAAAAATTTTGTTAATGTAGCAAAATGTTGCTTTTCTCTTTTAACAATGAATTCCTCTTATCAGTACGGATGCTCACATCGGGCATAAAAAAGGGCATGCATATTGCATAGCACCAATGACACCAGACCAATTGTGTCCCCACCAAAGTTCAAATCAAACCTACGCCCTTGGCCAAAAGAAAACAACCCCCCCAAATGAACAGAAAAAAAAGCTGATATAAATATTGAAGCACAGCTATGTCTAAAGCCCCAGTCAAACCTTAACGATTTAGCCAGCATATGCCTGACTTGCCAAAAGTTTACATTATATTAAAGTTTGTTTGCATTTTGAGAAATTTGAAACTATTAAAGAGGTGTGAATACTTGAATACTATCCCTTTATTGCCCCACAATGGGGAAATACACTCTCTGCATTTGACCAATCCCCTCAGGAATCGGTGAGCTGCCATAGTGTGGCACCCGGGAGCAGTGTGGGGTTAAGGCTTTTGCTCAAGAATTCAAGTGGCAGTCTGTGGGGATCGACACAGAACCCTCACAGAACATAAGCGCACTGCTCTAACCCACTCTAACACTCCCATCTAGTTTTTGCTACTGTCATGTAATTATATTCTGTACAGGCTTATATATTTTCTTTCCCAAAAGAATATCACCCTGCAAACCCTCAGCAGGAAGAGGCAAATACTGAAAAGGAAAAAAATAGTTTTTTTATCCTTCTCTGTGGCTTCAGGGCAGTATCCATAAATGAACACTAACGAAAGATTTATTTTCCTTGTTTGCTGAAGCAAAATTATTACACAAGATAATATCTTACTTTAATAACCAAAGGCAAAAAATAAATAAATCAGGTATAACTACTAAGATCAGCCTGATGATTTTATACTAAGGCAATTACTGCACATGTATTGACTCCCAAGAAACCAATAAATAATTACTAATATGTAGAAAGAATAGTTACTTATTTACAAGGTTGCATAATTATTAACAAAAAAATTGTTTAAAAAGAAGTGGAGACTGTCTTAAAAAAAAATCATTAAAGGGCAAACTTTTGTGTGAAACTAAAAAATGTTAGCACCTTAACAAAGTCCTAAAGGTTCATTCATGTCTACCCTTTTTTAACAAACCTAGCACAAAGTAAAAATAAAATAAATAAAACGTAGATTCATAAAGTACTTATCAGTGCAGGACTTATTAGTTGCAATTAAAGCAAACAAAAGCAAAACATATCTAACAATAATGAAATACATTTTCTTGGTGGCAGAAAGGATCATTTTGTGGAAATATTCAACATCACAAGAACCTCACAACTACCTCACAATAAGATAGTGAGTATGAGTGTAAATGAATGTGACATTTTAAGCTTCTTCTAGGTGGATTTCATATATAGACCTCTTGATTATCTTTTGTCAACAAGAATGAAAGAGGCTTTTCTCTCAACATTTTCTATCAAGCTGTCCTTTTTCATATCTTTCTGGTTTTATTATAGAGCTGAAAAACACTTGCACCCCACCAATCTGTTAAGTAAGAAAATAGGATTGATCCAAAAACACTATCTAAAAGATAAAACCAATATATATAGCTACATTGCCCAAAAGGCAACTTTAAAAGAAAAAAAAAGCAATAGAAATATAGAAAACCCTTTATTGGGTTGCACCCAATGATGCAAATAATGACATCACTGTACATTTAAACAGGAAGTGCTGTTCCAGTCCCTCCTAAGTCATCAGAGTTTATTCAGGTTATTTGGGTGTGGAATAGTGGAATTAGGTGTTGTTGTAACCAACACATGAAGGGGAGAGATAAAATTAAACAGCAGACCAACTTCATAAAAAGGCCTTGAGGGAGGAAATAACAGTTCAGTTTCTATTTGGATATCATTAAAAATAGAAATTTGGCAAAAGATGAAAAAGAGAAAAAAAATTATATAGAATTTAAGAGTCTGTAATACTGAAGCAGCTGAGAGGAAGATGCAAATTTGACTAGACTGAGAGTAGGCCATACACATTTCTATTGATAGTAGAGGAAATGGATTATGATATATGTGAGAGTTGTGGAGAAAATGAAAATGTTCATCAGATTTTGATGAAGTGCTCTAATATGCATCTCAATGGGGGAAGTCATAAGGGAAACACCCCGAGAATGGAGTTTAAAAAGAAATCAGGAGTTTCTACAGAGTGTTGTTTTTATTTTCAAATCATACAAATGTTAGCGTTCTGGTTCTGTTATGTTTTTTTTTTTGGATGTTGCTTTTCTCCTTGTTTTCTAGTTTTTTATGGTTTAATTTTTATTTTATTTTGTTCTTTGTTTTTTTCTCAGTTACTGTCTTAGTCTTGGTTCTGTTATGTTTTCTTTTGAGTGTTCAGTTTTGCTTTACTCCATGTTTTATAGTCGTAGTG